ACTTTGCAAATATTTGGGTACACCTCACAACTGATAGAACTCCCTTAAAAAGAAAACGGAAATAAATCCAAATATCAGCGATAACTGTGTTTTCACTACGCAAGTAACTTAACAGCAAAAATAAATAACAGTGGATGAATGAAAAATAAATAAATAAAATGTGGCAAGCAACATGATCCCCATAAAATATTCTCCCCCCCCCGGGGAATTATTCAGATAAATCAGCAAAAATTTAACTGAGTTACCTGAGTTACTATATAGGGTTACACTTGATGTGGCAAAGTAATTTTGGTCCTTTAACAGACTTATCGCTGTTTCTGAGATAAACGACAAAGACTTAAAAAGCATATAACAACCTTTTTATTTCAACAGAATTTGGAAGATAAGGGCACGTTCTGGTGTTACAAAATCTACAACTCCTCGTGAAGCAAATAAACAGAGCAATTAAAGTTAAATTAAACGCTTAACAGTACTTAAGCACTAGACAATTAAATACCTGGCGCCATATTTATTTAATTGTGTATTTAAAGTATCGGCAGCGAGACACCGCAAAGCCAAGTAATTACAACTGTTAGTGGAGCTTGCAGGAACTAACGTAGCGTGCACGCGATTGTCAGAAACTGTCTCAAAGCGAAAAACTTCAGTTTAAATACTCACAACTAATTTGCATTATGGTGAAGAATGCGGTAAGATGATTTAGTAAAGACTGAAATCATATCAGATAAAGATACCCTAAAACTATTAAATTTCATAATATGCCAAAAAGATTTCCTGTCGTTTAATTCTTAATTCTCTACTTTTGTTTATCTGATATCTAGTACGTTAGTTTCCACTACTGGTGTGATATTTCTTGTTTGATAGAAATTGTAGTAAGCTCGCCTAAAAGTTACCAGGAGCTGTTGCTCCAAAAAGTTCAACACGTTTTAAAAAAAAAATAATACATATGAAAATCAAACCATTAAACATGTAAAACATTAAAAAAGAAAATAAAAAAAAGTAAGGGAAAATGGTAAATTAGCCTAACTCGACTTCCAATGCCTTTCAGGGAAATTTTTAATTTGTTTGAACGGCGAATCAAACTAACCCCATTAAGGCGTTTCGCCGAAACAGACATTGAAACTTTTTCGCTACAAAAAATTTTTTAATTTAGACGAGTGTCTTGGAAAATTTTAATAGTCTCAATTCTCCCAATTTCCCGACGCGTCCCGCACAAAATGACACATTAAGGTGTTAAAATATGTTAAAACTATTCCGAAACATCTTAAATCTAGACAAAAATCAAAATCAAAAAAAAAAAAAAAAAAAATAAATAGCGGTCTGCTATTAGTCCTAAATATACAAAAACATACGGGCTGGGCCTGCAAGCTTAAAGATTAACAAATTTATATATTTTAGAAATCTGTAATGAAAATCTGTAATTAAAATAAAAGAAAATTAAGATGATAACCTACAAAGTGGGTCTTGCTAAGACCAAGAAAAAGTTGTAACAACAAGACCAAGAAAAAGTTGTAACAAAAGTTGTAACAATTTCTTGTTTGATATATGTTTGATAACGCGTATATATATATATAACTAGCACTCGCATATTATTCCCTCCTCCTTTGTTGCATTTATAGGATTATTTGAAATTTATTAATTATGAATTTCAAAATTTCTGGTCTTTGTGAAATATTAGTTCTGAATTCCTTACTTTATGTCTTTTACATAATTTTCAGCAGCTTAAAGCGCGGAAATACTAGGCATATTTACATATGTTTTTAATTGTTTTGTAATTATTCCCTCCTAAGGTATTTTATTTTAGCGTCATCAAATGGCGATTTAGTGCTGGTTGAAAATATGTATTGATGTTTACAAGAACTATATTAGATTTCTATAAAAGATTTTTTAATTAAAAATATGAAAACGCAGAACGTAAAAAATTATTTCAAAAAGGTAATATTCATGATAAATGCAAGTTAAGCAAAAAAATTCTTACTCTTTTTGCAGCTAGAAGATGTTACATTGCCATTATTTCAAACACAACAACATCATGGCCATTTCTCCACTGTTTTTCCAGTGGTATGATTCTACGGCATTAAAAATAACGCACGGAATCTTTATCTGTTTTTAATATAACCCTTCATCCACTCAAAAAAGCGAATTTAACTCCAACAATCGGAAAGAAAACCAAGTATATATCTTTCCGAATATATATCTTTTCACCAAAGGTTTCCTCGAAACCTTTGGCGGAAAAATTAAAAATATTATATTATTAAAAAAATAAAACTGCAGTTTTAATTTGTCATAGATCTAATTAGTTTCGGCTCTCATCAAATTTGAGTGCATTTCAGAGCAATAATTCTGTAAAGATTATGTATACGTAGTTGAAATTGTCTGTAGCTATGCAAATTAAATACATAACTACCTAAGTGCTGAAATAAAAATAAATAAATAAAAAAAAAAAAAATTTGTAGGTAAAGGCAATTTTTATTTTGTGCTAATTATTGCAGTTACTTGGTAGGGCCAAGTCATAAATAATGGTTGGAAATCCTTTGTAAATGATTAAATTTCGAGATACCATATATGCTTCGCCAAAGATTCCTTTATTTTTATTTCAGCACTTAGGTAGTTATGTATTTAATTTGCATAGCTACAGACAATTTTAACTACGTATGCATAATCTTTACAGAATTATTGCTCTGAAATGCACTCAAATTTGATGAGAGCCGAAACTAATTAGATCTATGGCAAATTAAAACTGCAGTTTTATTTAAGAGACACGTATGAAAACTCAAGAGTACACGCGGAGGGCTTTTCTAAAACTCAGATTTTCTTTTGACTCTTGTAAAAATATATAGCTTTCACAAGAATACGAATTTCAAGAGGAAACAAAGTACACTGCGGAAAAAAAAAGGGGGGACAGTTCTATATACAGGTATTTTGTCACAAAATCGGATTTTTTCAGAAATGACAAGCCAATTTTTTTTTCTCATATTTCGATTATACGACTCAGATTATGCCAGACTGCCAGACTGTAAAAATCGCAAGAGTAGTTTTAAAAAAATTAGCTCTCAAAATTTTAGCTCCTCAATGCTAGTTTAATTTGATATATATATTTTTAATATCTTTTTTCTTAAACTTATTTCATATTTCGAAATTTAGGTTCAATTCCAAATAAAATTCGTCTATTTTTTTATATTTATTTTTTAAATTTGTAAATAATTTTTATAAATTTTTGGAAAAAAGTTTTGCCATTATCTTAATGTATTTCTAAGCATACCTGCAAAAAAATAAGTTTTTTTATTCAAATTTTCCTAAGATATACATAAATTTACATATCGGCGTGTTTTGAAATTTGGTGTATTTGTTATAAGTGATAATAACGAAAATGTGGTTTACGCACTTTGTTAAAATTATTTGAAAGTATGAACTATGACTTTTTTACCGCTCGTGGACAATGAAGAAAAAAGGAAGGGAAAATAGGTTGCTATAAATTAAGAAGTTCGGCCAAGTGAATTATTCTTGGCGCAAACTGAAAAAAATCCGTCAAGATAAATTTTTAAATTTCTCATAAATTTTTCATCAAAAATTACAAAATTTAATATTTAGTCATAATTTGAGACTTGGAATGGAAATATGGAAAACAATGGCATGTTATTTCAGAAAAAATCCGATTTTGTGTAAAAATACCTACGTTAGAACAAAGCTATATATAAATCTAATATATATCCTAAGTCGCGCTTTCGAAACATGAAAAACGCAATTTGAATTTCATCAATCGGCCCAAGTAGAACGCGAGATATAAAACTGTCTTTTTTTAATTATTATTTTGGGCAGTGTACGTTCTTGCTTAAAGCAACCACCGCGCTTAGTCGCTAAAAGTGGCAAGCTTAATCGCTCAGTACGTAACGTATAAATTTCAAATGTCGGTAGAAGGTTATTCGGTACCTCGTAATACTGCATTTAATAAAGAAAGAAACACTTCCATTGGGCTCCAAGAAATATCTTCAAATTTTGATTCTAAATTTCACAAACTCTTGCAGAGATTAATAAAGTGCTAATACCAAACTCACAGACAAGAGAGAATCGTATTTCAAAGGCTGTAACCTTTTTGTGCTTATTTGCAAAGCAATTATTCAACTTAACGAAATTTAGCTAAAGCTTGATATAAAGTAAATTAATATCTATGTTACTATGCTTTCCAAAGGATTTCAACACAGCATTTTCCATCTTCTTTTGCGATTATTGCTTGCAGAAACTGTAAAATTTATTCTTCTGTGTCTAGATATTAGATGGTAGTTTAAAATGCACCTGTGAATGGTAGTCTCCCAAAATGTCGGAAGTAAAAATATCTCAACCATAATGTTGTGTGGTCAGACCATCCAGGCAATAGCACAGGTATAAGGTTGTGATTTTAAAATGAGTTGTGGACAAAATATCGCGTAAGGTAAATGAAGTTTCGTCATATTGTCCTATGACATAAATTAATGGTTTCCAAAATGTAGTCTGAAGATAATTTTTGGTGGGTTGCAAAAATGCAACCCACCAAAATTTTGAAGTATTTTATTACCTTAGTTGAATTAATTTATTACAAATAACATAAAAATAAACTTTTTAAAAATAAAACTATAAAACATAATTTTGACACTAAATAGTTTCAACCACCGATTTAAATTGTAAAAATCCTTACCATTTTTCTAGCTTAGTGTAGAAGAAAAAGTTATTTAAATGACTGGAAGAAACGCGTAACGGTAATAATAGTCAGATAAATTGAAAACTTGAAAATATAAATATGCTATGGGGTATATTTTAACTATTATTCGAACATCAAGATACAAAGATGAGTTCTGTTTTACCAAACATAAATTAAGGTGACGATGCGATATTTTTGCTCGCGACATTTTAGCCGCGAAATTTTGATCTGTGATATTTAGATCCCAACCTTCCATGAATATCTTTATATGCCTGGATAAATTGTTTCTCAACAAGCGATACACATACAGAAAAATGGAATCTCTCACCTATTGTACAAATGATGCTTGTGAGTCTTGGGTAAATAGGGGGTGAGTCAATGTCCAAAGCGCCAAGATGATCCATCAAGCAATATTCTTCAGCAGCATGCAACTGATGAGCTGAGACCTTCTTCTGAGCAGCCATGCTATACTAGCAAAAATAAAAATATTAACAAAACTGTTGCAATAATAATGATTAATCGATTAAAACAATGTTTTCGAAATCTTGAAAACGATAATAGTAAACACATTAAAAAAAGCAAGCAATATTGATTGCTATTACATTAACAAATATATGGCGCAAAGTAAATACTGATACTTGAAAATCAAGAAGCGAACAAGTCTCGGGAGGCAATATAGTAATATAGTTGTACTGTGGTAGGTAAGAACTGGTTAAGTTTCCCAATAAACATATAAAAGATCTGAATCACATATTAACTTGAAATAATTTAGTTACTAAAAACAATGCAACAATTTATATGTCAAAAATCAATGCAAAACTTTTTTATACTACCAAATCTTGAAACATAACATACAGTGATAAAAATTTTAAAAACAAAGTTCGCAAAAATAATTAAACAAATAAAAAAGAAACAGTAGCTGATAAATTAATGAAATATTTTCCAGAAAATTTTGAGTGAAAGAATGAGACAATTACCAACAAATTTTCTACTTCCGACATGTTAAAAAACGTTTTTTGAAATATAAATTCCCAAATTCCAATTTAAATGCATTTAATTTCAATAAGAACTGCGGAAAATAAGAAAACTGCTGCTCCACGTTCAAAATTAGAATATACGGTTACGAGTACTTTGAAAAGAAATTAACGATTTTAACCGTTAAAGGATCCTAAACCTAATAAACAATAAAACTGTTAGAAAATGTAAAAGAAAAACGAGCAAATTTCCCACATCAACTGATATCGATATGTGTCAGTTACGAACATGCTACAATCACGGCCATTATAACACATGACAGGTAAAAAAATTGCGGAGAAACAAAAACGCGATTCTTTCAAGCACGTGTTAAAGTAAATTATCCTATTTTTATCATTATCAAAAGTTTCCCATTCTTATCGCTATCTACTATCTGCATAACAATGACATTCAAGGAATGAAATAAAAAAAAATAAAATAAAAAATAAATAAATAAATAAATAAAAAATAAAAAAAAAAATCTATTAAAAAAAAAATCTTAAATGTTTCAGATTTTAAATTACGTCCAAAGGGGCGTTTTTTTAACGTTTTCAGTGTTACCTTTACTTATTAAATATCATGTTCTTTGCACTTAAACCATAAAATTCAGTTCAAGAGCAATATCGCAAAATAATGTTCAATTAAGCATATCTTTAGAATTTCCGATATACACAGTCTCGCGAGCTGGAGATATAAAAGTTTTTTTTTTTTTTTTTTTATATATAGCGTTGCCATTTCTCGCTTTTAAAGCATTGAGTTTGTAAATCAAAAATTCGTTAAAGTTTTACAAAATATAAAATCTATAATAAAACAAATTCCAAATTTGGGACTTCAGATGCTCATATTCGCAGTAGGATTTCGTCATTCAAAATTCGATGGCTCTATGTACCATTGTTTTATCACAATGCGAGAAATAGACAATCATTTATGCAGATTTTTCATTATTTAATTTCTTCAAATATAATGCAGGACTAACATTTTGTGGCAACAGTTTGAAAAGTGAACCGACGTTTATGAGTCCGACGCAAAATCGCAAAACGAAAACAATAGTTCTTCCTTAGTAGTGAGAATATTAAGGCTACCTAACTAACTCAAACAAACTGAAAACGAGCCATTCAACTTGACGAAACTATTGAACTGAAGGACACTAATGTTTTTTGCAAAATAATGATGTTTAGCTATATATTTAATATATAGCTAATTTTGAAAATATGAAACCTCATATACAAGCTTTGTGCATTCTAGGTAAAGAAATGGGCTCCAATTATTTAACCATATTGAAGTAATCTAGCTATCATACAAAAAGTTTTAAAAAAAGGTTTTGGAACTAAAAAAAGTGATTTTCGGATATTTAATATTGATAGAAAGCCAAATCTCCAAGCTTAATTTTGAGATCCAAATTTAACGTTCCCAGTACTTTGCCTAAATTGTCCCTCTTTTCCTCCCCCCCCCCTTTAAAAAAGAAAAAGATGACTGAATTTAATCTTTCTGTGCAAGGAAAACGTTGGAGGAGAACACTATATACCAAACTTCAAACGGTTTTCAGAAAAAACTCTGAACAGTGTTCTAGTTTTGAGAAAAGGAGCGCAGACACGTTACTTCCTTGCATAAGTCTATTTTAAAAAGTAACATTCCATCCTCAGTAGAAGTTTAGATGATGCTCTGAAGTCATATTATGGCATCTAGTCAAATAAAAATATATTTTCCAAATTTGAATTAAAAGGATGTATAAGACATCATTTAGAAATAATTTACACTTTGCTCACATTTCTTAGCCTGTTACAATAGGAGTTAATAGATATGGGATCGAAATTTACTCTGCCTCCTCAAAATTTGTCTGCAGTGATAAATCAGAGCTTTGCATGAAACGACAAATGGAATTTCCTTCATTATAATACACACCCTTAAATATTTTGATCCCATTCACAACAACTTAAATAGCCGAATCTTGATTCTCGACTACTCTATATATTAAAAGCAAGGACAGATCTTGTTTATCTTTCAGTACCATCAGAACATCTACACTACCATTAGAAATTTGCTGTAATATATCTACAATATCATTAGAAAATTAATCTCACAATATTAAGTACGAAAACAGAATACAAATTTATTCTGTGTAATACTCGGACACATCCATCATATTAGACGAATACTAAACGTAAAGGTTGATTTATTTTATAAATCTCATATTTTCTTTAATTAATTTCAAAATTTATTTTTGCCTTTTCTCTGTATATTATTATGCATATAAAATAAATATAAACGTTAAATAAAATTGTAATTTTTTCCCCAGTATTAGAAAATTTTTACATGTAATATATTTAATCTGAAAAATTACAGGCTGTGTTTAAAAATTACAGGCTGTGTTGCAGAGAGGTCGAAAACTATTGTTACTGCTCCATCGGCTTCAGCTCAAAAACAAATGTTATCGATTCAATGGTTTTACAACCAGGTTTAAAAATTACTGGCATCTACACTGATATGCTTGATGGCAAATATTTCTTTGTCAGAAGTGATCGAAGTGCAATCACAGTTCAGTTTTCAGTAAATTAATGACTAACCAGTGAACCGTCAAGCAAGTAATTTTGCACAGCAAAACACACAAGGCGTACCGCTTACAACTTAAATGCCTTATGATTCAACTTAACAGCCAATCAAACAAGCTAAGTTCAGAAACTGCAGTTATTTTATGATCCGGTCTCATCTACTTAGAAATACAAAAGTGAGGCTTTCCATGAAAACTCTATACAAAAAGAGAGTGTAGCCGCCAGGTATTTAACCTAAACAAAGTAGTAATCGACTTCAGTCACTCGGCCAAAATCTACCCTAAGAATTCCTGCATAGTTATTAGGTTATTCGAATATGGCAAAGCAAGAGCTATCTGCCTTAGGAACAGGATACCTTCATGGAGGACTTTCTAAGGAAAACCATTTGGCAATTGGTGGGACAGGAAATTCCTAGATGGTTTTTGGTTTTGGTTTTATTAAATTACGGCAAACACTCGAAGGCTATCTGCCTTAGGGGAGGGATGCCTTAGTGGAGGACTTTCTAAGGGAAACTGGCTCGTATACACGTTACACATGGGGAAAACCACGAAAACGCCCATGCAGCCAGCCCGTTCGCGGGATTCGAACCTCGGACCGAACTACCAGTGTTCAGCGACGTTACCGCTCGGCCGCTGGTGGACTAAATTCCTATATGGAAAACGGCTTAAAGTAAAATCAGTTTGTATTTACGCAATAGCTACGATGGCGGTGGAAACACAGCCTTTTCTATAAGAAATCGAACTCTGGACGAAATTTCTATTATTTTACATTTACCACTTTAAAATTGATAGATCAAACATTTTGTAAAGAATCCGGTTTTAACTTTTTGACTGCACAGTAGTCGATCCAAGAAAACACACATCTATAAAAAATATATATATATATGTTAAGAAATATTTAAAAAGAACTTATAAATATGTAAGAAATATTTAAAGAGAACTTATAAACCAGATTCAAGTTTCAGGGAACGTGCTAGCTAAATAATATTGTCCTTCCACCACCACACGTACAGTCATCATCGTGTATAATGAAAATAATGACAGTTTCCAGCAGAAAATCCTCAAGGAAAGTATCCATCCTTTTAATGCAGATCGCATTCGCATACTTAGCTTTAATGAGTTATCCACAAAGGAATCAAAATCAAAATTTATGGAAATGAATAAATTTTTTTATAATATTTTTGAACGTAAAAATTCTTATTAGGGTTCCGAAATAAAATAAAATTAGACAATATTATATTGGACGATTTCTTCAATACTTTTACATGATATTAAATTTGCGAGCGTAATTCTAAATGATAAATTTCATTTCCTTTAGAATTACTGCTTGCGTCTGCAATAACTCTAAAAAAAATTTATACACAACTAAGAGAAAAGATATTACAAATCTTATTAGTTTACTTTTATATTCAAGATTTAGTACCGCTGTATTTTTGCTGTATTCGCGTAGAGTAATTTGCAAAAGCTTTGTGAAGCAATAATACCGTTTGTTATTAATCTGCGTCAACAAGTTTCCAGTCAGATGTACAATGCTCCATTTCACGTCAGATGCATCTAAAAATTACGGATTTAATTTTCGGTTTAAAGAATGTATGCAACTGAGGAACACTGCAGAATCTAATTAAGTATAATAAAAAAATTAGTTGTATTTAAATCAATTAGATGGATTTCATGAACTTGGAAATACTACTTTCAAATAGGACACCTTTTATTAAAAAAAAAAAAAAAAACATTTAGCCGAAAGGGGCAAATGGGCTATTAATTTCGTTTTGGCATTTAGCGTCGTCCACTATAAAACGGCGTTTCACTTTTCAAGTTGTTGCTACCAAATATCAGAGTCCTGCTTTATATTTAAAGAAATTAAATAATGAAGAAGGTAGGCTGTCGGGCCCACGATAGCTAAAATCTGAACACATTTACTTAGTGTGG